CAAATCTATAAACTATTTTTTCAGACCGACTTCATGGCTTATAATCCAGAATTTTTTGAAATATTTCTAAAAAAATATTGCAAGATTTTCACTGCGATTTTTTTCAAATAGAAGTCCAATTGGAGGCGGATTTTTAAAAATATAACTTCAAAACTACTTCAAGGCCCTAATGTGAGTTTTTAGAGTATTATCAAAAAACGACTTCGAGGTCTATCACGTTAATTTTTTTTAGGAATATTTTCAATGTCAATAATTTATCATATTAAAATGATATTTTTCTAAAGACTCCAAGGCCAATAAATCTGATAAAACGAATCAAACTTATCCAAAGCCAATAAAAAAACACTCTTTAAAAATATTTTCAAAAGGACAACAAACCCCAATAGACGTGGATTTTTTTCGAGCATATTAAAGAGGAGAACATATTGAAGAGGTGGCACACTAAGGTCTTGAATTGTGGAAATTTACGACGCATATCTTTTCGTTCTTTTTTAATAACGTAAACAAACAAATATGATTTGACCTCATTTTAATATATGTATATATTTTTTTTGTTATGTATGTATATATATTTATGTTATGTTATATAGTTCTTGTTTTGCAAACGCGAGCTAGTAGGGTAGTGGTGTACGACGTGATAAAAACCACAAACACCCAATAGTTAGAACAAATGTTTATGTTTTCCAATGGCGTTTTGGTATTCGGCTAATCACCACCACAACAAAACTTGGTTGTTGTTTTTTTGTTTACTAACTTAACTTATCTTAAATTATGCTAATCACAACAACAATAATATCATTTTTTTAAACAAAAATACGTGCATGGAATTCATAAATCAGGCACCTGGATAGCGTATTTTTTTTTGTCAGCGTCATCTATTGGAGGGAAAACAAGGAAAAAATAAGATTGAGTAAACAATAAAATTGACAGCAACAACACCACCACAGCCACAACCATCTGATTATCAACCGGCTAATTTATTTTTATATATTTTGTTTTGGTTTTTTTCTGTTTTCATTCGCTCTTAAGAAAAAACACGGCAAAACAGAAAACCAGTTCAAAAGAAAAATAAAACAAAAATAAAAAGACGTGCGGCAAGAATGAAATTGCGTCGCAGCATTAACTTGTTCCAAAATAAGAAACCACCATCAGAGCTGTCCACACATTGTAGAGAATGAAATGATTAAAAAAATATATATTAAAAGGCGCAATACAATTGAGAATATTTTAAAAGTGATAAAAAAATCAAGCTTTTGCTGGAATTTTGTATACCTTAGATATCGTTTTCAAAATATTTATATGGAAAACCGTTTTTAGGCTTTAAAGATATATTGAAAATAATTTTTAAAAATTCATTTAGAATCGCTTTGAAAATACTTTTAACAAGTAAAATAGTATCAGTCGGTATTGCCTACAGATGTATACCCCCTGCCTTGAGTTATGATTATTCTAACTGTTGACCTTCTATGGGGGGTTCCGAAGCAGTTGGTCAATTTTGACCAATTCGTATCCAGAGTTGAACTATGTCGACTACTTCCTATACTTTATATGAGATATGTGTAAATTATTTTAAAATGTGAAAATATGTCATCTAATACAGATACAAATATTAGTATGTGCCAAATTTAAAGGAAATCGAACATTTATATTCAATTTTATACGAAATCATAAATTCTAATTAATTTCATATTCATATCAGATTTCTGGCTAAGGAAATAGATAAAACGGCCGAGTTGTTTCGCAATTATGACAGATATAAGTGTTCGAAATTAAGACCTTTGTGGTTGAAGAACCAAAACGGGTTGGCAGCTATCTATCATCTTCACAACAGATTTTGCGTTTGCATAAATGTTTGGATGTGTAAAATTTGAAGAGTGTATGATGCTTATTTCGCGCTTTGTTTTTCAAAATTTTGAATCCTTTGTGGGTGAAGTACAAATAATAGTGCGCCGATATATTCTATTTTCACAGCAGATATTGTGTTATTTGTGTGTGAAATTTGAAGAGAACCGGATGAATTTTTTCGCATTTTCTGATCGTTTTGGCTATTCAAAATTTTGACCCTTTGTGGGTGAGGTACCAGAAAAAATTATCCGATCCCAACCATCTTTATAACATATCTTGTGCTTATCGAAATATTGGGAAGTACCAAGTCTGAATGGAATCAGATGATAATTTCCTATTTTATGAGCTCCATAGTTATTCAAAAATTTGACCCTTTGTGGGGGAGGTACCAGAAGGAATGGCCAGATATATCCCATCTTGTGTTAGTAGAAATAATGGGATGTGTGAAATATGAAGAGAACGGGATGATCATTTCGCATTCTTTGAGCGTTTTGTTTTTCAAAATCGTAAACCCTATATGGGGGAGGTACCAACCAGAAGGAATGGTCCGATCTCTATCATCATTATAACAGAACTTTTGTTAATAGAAATATTCAGATGTGCCAAGTCTAAATGGAATCGGATTTTAACGTCTTGAGCTTCATAGATATTCAAAATTTTGAACATTTGTGGGGAAAGTGCTAGAAGCAGTGTACTGATATGTTCCATCTTCACACCAGACATTGGGTCAATAAAAAAATTGTGATGTGTGTAATTTGAAGAGAATCAGACTATTACTTCACATTTTATAAGAGTTATAATTGTTCAAATTTTAACTCTCCCTTTGTGAGGGAGGTATCCATTTTCACACCTGACCTGGAACTGATGCAAATATTAGGATTTGCAATGCTGGAGAAAAAACCGATTATCCGTTCGTTCTCTGCGCAGTAAAATATTTTCTTTGAAAATGTCGATTTTTTGTGCGGGAGGTACCAGAAGAAGTGGACCCATATTGTTCATCTCCGAACTCGATCTAAGTTTGATAATAATATTACGATAAACCAAGTTCAGATCAAATACTCCCTTCGAGAGTGATCGTGCGTACCAGCCAGACAGACAGATGGACGAACATCACTAGATGGACTCCAAATTGGTTAATAGAGACTTAGGGTCTAAAACCGATATTTCGATGAGGCACATTTTGGCCGTATCAATTGATATATACGCTCTCTAGCCATCTCGGCTAAGCGTATGATTATGCTCATTTTGCATTTTGTGAGAGTTATGGGTATGATTATGGGTGTAAAAAAAGTTAGCCCTTTGTGGGGTGGTACACGGTTTATCCCATCTTCACACTAGATTTTGTGTTGGCAGGAAAATTATGATTTGTCAAGCACTGATGGAAATTGGGATTCGCAAAGTTTGAACAAACTCGGTCAACCCTTTCTCTTTTAAAGACGTAAATTATTTTCTTTGAAAATGTTGGGTGTGTCAGAATGGGTGGACCGATATTGTCCATCTCCGAACTCGATTCAAGTTTGATAAAAAAAAAATATTATGATTTACCAAGTTTGGACGAAATAGGATGCTCCTTTCGAGAGTTATCTTGCGCATCAGCCAAAAAGACGGACGGACGCCGATCGACTTCAAATGATCCGTTTCATGCCTTCGTTCTAAGAGAATAAGGGTGTAAAACCGTAATTTTGAAAATATTTTCAAAAGTGGAGTATTGTTTTTGTTTTTTAATTCGCGTTTGTAGTCCTAGGCCTATTTTGAAATAAGTTAAAAATCCACGATTAAAGCACTAGTCAATTTGAAAAGATTTTTAAAACATCCACATTTAAAGTCCGAGTCCATTTGAGAAGATTTTGAAAAAATCAGGCCTTGGAGTTCTTTTTGAAAATATTTCAAATAAGTTCCACGTTTTTGTTGTCCAAAGTCCCATTTAGATTCCCTAAAAATTAGATTCAATCCTGAAATATTAGTTGTATTTCTTTCTGTATATAAATTAATCAGTTTCATACTCAAACATTGTGATAAATATTGCAAACAGAATATAAATTCAGACATTGTTTACATTTCCAATAAAAAAAAGTTTACATTGTTTATACAAATGTACATACATATGTACATCTGAAATAGCAGAGGGTCTAATAAATTATACAAATAAGAGCAAAAAATGAAAACTTATCGATTTATTGACGATAATAATAGAGCCCCACTCACACGATTACACAAAACCGAACGTGCCAAGTGTCAGGTGTTTTCTTGTTTATCCCGCGAATAATGCGACACACCAATATGGGTCATATTTATTTATGGCTCAAGTAAACAAAACAAATTCAAGGTATTATCTGAATTTATAAACATTATAACAGCCAAAAGAGAAAAACATATTTTCCAAGTTAATATACAAGATATAATAATAATTCGTCATCAGACACCATCATAAATTTAATGTAATTTTACACTTAATAAAAGGCCCACCACCCCAACCAAAGCCATTGTAGATAAGAATGTTTGTGCGAATGCGAAAATAAAACAGATGTAGTAATTATTGTTATCAGGGAATTGGCAAATAGATGAAAAATTCTAGACAACAAAAGTTCGATTGAGGGTATTGGCACAAGTGATAGTGAAAGAGCAAAACAAAACATTATCATCACTCACACCCAATGTAATAGGCAATTGGAGATAAGGAGCAGAGGGCTTGTATTGAAAAAGCAAGCAGCGTTACATACGTATGCTTGTAACTTATCATGAAATCACAAGGCTGTTTTAGCATTTTTACAATTTCTTTCGAAATAAAAAATGATGAGGTAATTTTCATGACCCAATGCTTTCATAGGTTGGATTAAATGTTGTGAATTTTTTTTCTAAAAATACGTTATTAAAGATTTTGAAAGGAAAAAATATACAATTAATTAATTATTAATATTAAAATATAGCAACTCCTTGTGGATAATGAGACTTAGACGTTCCTAACCTCCAAATCCGACGGGACTTGTTTTGCGGGGCTTTTGTTATAGTTATTACATGACGATTTTTTCCACGAGGATCTAAGAAGATGCCTAAATACTATAATTTCTTCTGGACATTGGGCCGAGATTTTTTAATTTTGGAAAATTGTTCGCTTCTAATAATTAGAGAAATACATTAGAAAAATCCGAACTTACCTAGAGGGCATATTATTTAATATCTTATCAGTTATAAAACCAGCACGATTGCAACGTTCCACAAAACGATCTAATATTATATAAGCAAGTGGCACATCCAAGACAATGTCAGCCATATCATCAAAAACTCGTAGGAAACCCTGAAAAGATATAGAAAAAGTAAAAAATTTAGTTAAAAAAGGATATCAGGCAAAAAATATTTTGATAGTTTGATAGTGACATTTAAACTCAATAGACGAGCTTTTTACTTTAAAAATATCCCTGAAGATGATTTCCGGAGGAAATCGAAATATTGGATGAATAAAAAAAGAAAAATTCAAAAATAAAAACATAGTTTTTTAATGACCTTAAGCCAAGCTATTAACCAAATAAGTAAAATAAATATAACAGGTCAACAATATACAACAACAACATTTTGAAAAATTGTGGACCCACCAAGGGTCTCAAAAAAATTAATTCATTGTCATACGATTTCGTGTATCAAAAATAAAAAAATAACAGTTTTCCAAAAAAAAAAAAATATCAAAATGTAAAAGTGTTTTTATTTCGGCCGCATCGAGCTTTTAATACCCTCCACCACGAGATAAAAAACGGGATGGACTTCTCACCAAGTCTTTAAAATGCCATATAGTCGATGGTACCGATTTTCTGTTCTGGGTATTCAAAATCTTGATCCTTTGTGGGGGAGGTACCAAAGAGACCTAGGTCTCGTTATAAATGATCAAGGAACACTAGGTATCTTTGTCATATAAAAAATCCCTACTATACGTGGACATTGCTCTAACAAAAGTATTCTCGATGGAACGTTAAAAATCTACGCCTTTAGTTACGATTTGTAAAATCATTCATAAGAAACTACGCCTTTATCTTCGTTTTGAAAAATCGTTCTTAAGAAGCTAAGTCTTTAGCTTCGTTTTGAAAAACTGTTCTTAAGAAACTACGCCTTTAGCTTCGTTTTGAAAAACTGTTCTTAAGAATGATCGCTTTTAGTTAGGTTTTGAAAAATCGTTCTTAAGAATCCACGCCTTCAGTTTCGTGTTGAAAAGTCGCTCTTAGAATCCACGCCTTTAGCTTCGTTTTGAAAATCATTCTTAAAACCCTCCACGCCTTTAGATTCGTCTTGAAAATCGTTCTTAAGAATTCACGCGCTTAGCTTCGTTTTGAAAAATCGTTTTTAAGAATCCACACCTTTAGCTTCGATTTGAAAGATCGTTCTTAAGAACCCACACCAAAACCATAATTCTTCATAGTCCACGATGTCGTCCTCGATCTTAAAAATCAAAGAATCCAATCAATTCTAGCCATCCTATACTATACATTGCTCCACCAAAAGTATTCCTAAAATAAATTGAATAAATCTACGCCTTGGCCTCATCCTGAAATAAAATATTCTTAAGAACCCAGGCCTTGGCAACATCCTGAAATAATTCATTCTTAAGAACCTACGTCTGGAGCTCATCCTGAAATAAATCATTCTTAAGAACCTACGACTTGGCCTAATCCTGCAATAAATCATTCTTAAGAACCTACGTCTGGAGCTCATTCTAAAATAAATCATTTTTAAGAATCCACGCCTTGGCCTCATCCTGAAATAAATCATTTTTAAGAACCCACGCCTTGGCCTCATCCTGAAATAAATCATTCTTAAGAACCCAGGCCTTGGCCTCATTCTGAAATAAATCATACTAAAGAACCTACGCCTAAGGCTCATCCTGAAATAAATCATTCTTAAGAACCCACTACTTTAGCCTTTGAAGTTGTGATTCTAAAGAAGCCTTTGACCTCTTTTAAGTCTGCTCAATCTAATTTAGTCCATCAAAATATATTCTTTTTATCCCCTCTCTTAATAATCCTTTAAAAATATACACAAAAAAATCCAAATTTATGGTCTTCAGTAGCTCACCTGTTCCATGCCAGCTGGAAGTACCAAACAAGCTTTATCCAATGATGCCAACAGCTCGCACATTGCCTCCTCGGTGGTCTGTGACAACGATTCGAGAGTCATTACCACCGCCTCGTAGACAAGTTCGTGATGGAAATGTGGAACTTCAAGGGCACGCAGGCAATGATGAGCCTCTTGTATGTCACGCGATGACAAATACTCCTTCAGCAGCAATGTCATTTGTTTTGTTATGGTCTTGACGGGTCGCAGTGGCCCACCCATGCCCCAGACATTGTCCAAATGGGCCCAACCCTGTTTCATGTGTAGTAGAGTATCGGCACGGCGTATTGCCGTCATGGCATGATCGTTAAGCTCACCATGTTCCGATGGTTTGGTGACAAATTTCGGGGGCAGACAATCATCGGCAACGGCACGAGCTAAGAAGTTGCCTGGAAAGATGGAAAAGAGGAGAAAAATAGGAGGAAATATTTTATAAACTCTTTCGATAATAATTCGATTTTAGTTAAATAATAATAATTTGACAGTGAAACAGGGCTATAGGTTTTTCTTTAAATCGACTTTTTTATATTTGTTAACATTTCATATGGCAATTTAAGATTTTGTTGTCTTAATATCATATTTCTCAAATATTCATAATAGGCCCTGTTCCACAGAATTCAAACATGTTTTTCTGCTTTTGTTAATATTTCTTCTTTTTTCTTTTCGAACTTACCTAACAAATTTGGTGCATCTGGTGTATCCAGTGTTAAATCTGGCAAATTTGCCAATAATATTTCGAAACCTTTTTCAATATCTTTGGCCGTTATAACACGACCATATAAATCGGATATCAATACCGATGTCATTTCACGCTGCGAATCTTTGTGATCCAACGCTATCTCAACTATAACACTAGTAACATATGGACGCAAATTACCCGTTAAGATTTCATCGAAATTAACAGCCACTTCATGGGTATCACCATGCTCGTAGTATTCCAAGACAATGGGCTCGGCCAATTTGAAAAACTCTTCAGGAGTTAGCTCCGGAATGACTTCACTTAATACAATATTTTGATCATTGGTCTCACTGTCGTAGTTGGGATCATTTTCATCTTCGTACAGTTCTTCGAGGGCCTCGGAACCGGGCAGACCCCAGACACCCTTGCCGCCGGCACCACCTTTTTTCGGTAGGCCACGACCATAGCCCGATCGGGAACGACGACTGTTCTTCCAACGACGTTGAGGTACAACATAATCTTTGGCACTGCCATTCATGACAATGGGTATACCACCAATGGCACCGCCATTGCTGCTGCTGCCACTTTCACCGCGACTATTTTGTCGCTGGATGAGACGTTTGCCCTTGCGCTTGATGCGTTGATCATGGGCATCGGCCGAGACATTGTGTGGCTTTTTGATAATGCCATTTTGGCCTTTGGGAGAATGAGCGATGGCGGCAGCGGTGCCGTTAATTTCCACTGCCTTGATGTCACCGTTAAGCTCACGTTCTACGGAGCTTTCACGTGACTCAGCACTGGCATAGCCATTTTGACGTGCTGCCTCAACTTCCATTGTGTTGTGTCGGGTGTGTTTTTTTGTTTTATTTCTTTTTCTAAAAGGTAGTGGTGGTTGTTTTGTTAACTGGTGGGTGGATCTGTTTTTTCGTTTTAGTTTATGTTATGCCAGAGTAGCAGAAAGACCGTCCGTTTGATGCGAATGTGGCTTGTACTTGGATCAACAGGTGCGCTTGATACTTGTGTTTCCTTGGTGTTATATGGCGTGACAAGAGCTTTTGTGCTACTTGGCTTACAAAGGTTTATTTCTTGCTGACGGTGACTGGAATGATTCAGGAGATGTAGGTGCTTAAAACTGTAGGAACAGCTGTAAAGAGAATAAAAACGAGATTTTAGTTAGTTTCAATGTGGACTCACATATTTTTAAGAATATTTCAATTTTTAAACAATTTTCTTCGTTTTGGCAAAGTTGTTGGCTGGAAACCCAGGGCAGATAAACGTGAGTTTTTAGAGAGGACTCGAAGGTTTTTTCGCGTTATTTTTTTAATATGTCTAGAAAGCTTTAACAAGGAGGATATTTAAAGCTTGAAGAGATCCTCAAAGGGAAAAAGTGCATATTTTTAAAGCGGAATACAAGGATTACAATAATGGAATTTTAATGAAGTCTTCAAGGACTTACAACGTGAGATCCTCAAGGATTTGAAATGGAGATTTTTAAAGAGATCTTCAAGGTTTTTATACGTGGATTTTTAAAGAGATTCTCTAGGTCACTCAAAGGTCCTAAAAAGTGAACATTTAAACCCTATTCTGAGCCCTATTTTGGAATATGACTTGGCCTTATAAAGAGGCCTCCGAGACCTTTTAAAATTAGCTATTATTGGGCTTTAATGACTTAACCATTAATTTTATGAAAGATAAACTTGAGATAAACTTTTTAGAGTGGACTCCCAGGTCTGTAAACATAATCATAATAATCATGGATCTTTAGATCCTTAAACTTGACTTTAAAAAACGACTGTAAAGGCTCTAAAAGGTATTTATATAGAAGTCTTCAATTAGATTACAAGGTTTTTAAAAGTGGAATTGAACGTGAATTTTTAAAAGTGGCCTCCAAAGGATTTTCAACGTGGATTTTAAAAAATGTCTCCAAGATTTTAAACATGGATATTAAAAAAAAACTTCAAGTGGACTGCAGGCATTTAAAAGTGCAATTGTAAGGAGACCTTCAAAGACCTAAAAAGAGGTCTTTAAGTGAACTACTGGGATTTAAAAATGGAATTTTAAGAGGTTTAAAATTAATTTTTCGAAAGATCTGTAAATTACAGGAATTCAAAAATGGAATTTTAAGGTTTTTAAAAGATTTTTAATAGAGGTAAGTTTTTTGAACGTGGATTTTTAAGCGACTTCCAAAGCTTTTAAGGATTTTTTTTTTGGAGGCCATCAAGCGGACTTAGAGAATTTTAAAGATGAGTTTTCAAGCGCTTTAAATGTAGATTTTTAAAAGAGGTCTTCAAGATTTTATTAACTTGGATTTTTAAAGGTGATTTTAAGGTATTTTAACATTTTTTTGAAAGAGGACTAAATACACACACAACATCTGGTATGAAGATGGAATATATAGGTTCACCTTGTGGTACCATCCCTACAAAGGAACAATATTTTGGGAAATTGTAACTCTCAATATCTGTAGTAACACTGGATTAAGTATTAGATTTTGTTTGATGATGCGTAGCTGTTAGTTGGCAACTGATTCACTTGTAGACAGTTGGTCCATTGTGTTCATCCTTGGAAAAACTATCAATTTAGGAAGAGTAATAAAAAAAGGAAAAGGAGGGGTTTATAGAAAGAGGGTACTGCTTAACCAGGGAAAATTTTGAAAAGAACGTTAGATTTTCTACCATCGCCATATAGCCGATGTCTCTTGATGGATAGCATGGGTGTCCGATCGTCTCAATATCTGCTTCATCTTCACATAGTCTACAGTAGTCAGGAAAACGCTATCATCCCATCTTGAGGTCAGATATCGGATATACTGCACTATACAGATATACTGCAGTGGCCAGTCAGTATACCTACTGCGATACTTAGATCACACATACTAACTGATAAGGTATCTTGTTCTTCTTCTCGAGATTGCCGACCAGATGTCCTTAGATACCATATAACCGGTATCTAAGTCCTGTTTCATCGATAAGAGATTTTTTGAAGCAGCTGGTAAAATGGCTATTGGATGTTTAATAGTTTCATCAATCCGTAGATTAGTCGCCCGGGGAACCTTTTTGAGCTTATTCCCCACTATGTTTCTACATCCAGGAACACAGCAAAGCTTAATATAATTACGTATTTCAATGAGGGTTTTCTTGTAGTCTAGAGTGGCTCTCGATTGAAAGGCACTTGACTTGATAGCTTTAAGGTCCGCCTGATTATCGACATATATGGTCTCTAGTCCTGTTAATCTATAGCATAGTCCTTTTACGGTCTCGGCGGCATTCTCAAGAATCTCCGCTTGAAAACGGTGCAGTTGTCATTAATGGTCAAATGCTATATATATCGTCGATGTATTTTCAATATTTAGTACTGGATTTTTTTGGAGGACACCTAGAATATTAGACGCAATTTGTTTCAATGAACTCTCAATGCCTTTAAACTTTATTTTTTTCAAGGGACTTCAAGGCTTCATATTCTCCAAATAGCAATTATTCATCAGACACCTTGGAAGTTGCTTCCCCACAACAATCAACAAAAAGAAAGAATAGACACAAAGGTAATCACGAATTGTATAGACATGTTAGTGCGTAAGTAGACCTCCGAACCAACACAACAATAAACATTACATGTGTAAATCATATGATGCTGTTGTTGTAGAAAAATCTCAACTTAAAATTCAGATTATCAAGTTTATTAGCCCTCACCTGGAGGGGAGAGAAGCTCAATGCAAAACTGGCAAATATGTATGCGTGGAGTGTTGTGTTTAGACGCAATTCTTTCTATGCACCAAAGTTAAAGACCGTTTTGAAGGTTCTACATGCATTGAAAAAAATACAACAAACGTGTGATATGATTGTCCTCCTCCTCCTGCTGTTTTGATTTGAAATCTTGTTTTCTTTTGTTCGGTGAATGTAATTCTATTTGAAAACTACACGGTGTGTAAATTTGCAGTTTACATGTTGCACTACTACTATTGTTGTCACTTGGTCGATATGCGAAGTAGAATACAACATGGGTATATTATTTACACAAGTTTACCAAGATTTGTGAGAAAATGAGGGGAACTCATTTATGTTAGGCTGAATAGAACTAAAATCAGCTTGACAACAGGATATGTTGAAATTATATAATAAAAAGCTGTAGGCTGCCGGACCTCCACCATTTTGAAAGAATTTGGGAATTTTCAAAAACAAAAAAATCCGTTAAAAATTTTGTTAAAATCTTAAACATACCGAATGTATCCGTTATATTATGGTCTATACGACGACGTGGACCTGCATAGGCAACTTTTATCATAAGCCATTACAATATTCAAATGCAAAACTTGAAAATCGGTGAATCGGTAAAATTATCAAAATACCGAATATAGGGAAGTTTCGTTACATGGAAGCTATACGGAGGCATGGACCTGCACGGACAACTTTCCGTCACAGTCTGCAAAATTCATTAAATCTTCAAATACCAAATTTGAAACATTTCCGGTGAATAATATCGCTTACGTCGCCAAAATTCCGAAAATACTACTCCCTATATATGGAGGCTATTCTAAAACGTGGTCCTACATGGTCCATTTTCAATACCAAAAGTCCTGCAGACATAATATACATTTGAGTAAAATTTTATCAACCTACTTCATTTCGTTCGAAAGCTAGAGTGATTTCAACGGACGGACAGACAAACGGACATCGCTAAATCGACATAGAATTTTATGCTGATCAAGAATATAATAAGAATACTTTGTAGGGTCTAAAATGTATATTTCGAGGAGTTTCAACGGAATGACAAACTTAATATAGCCTCCATACTATGGTGGTGGGTATAACAAGTAAAAAGCGACATTCATTTGGGCCGGGTCGAAGTTTCCATACCTTCAGCCATGTGAAAGCTTGATACATAGCCTAATCGGCTATCCCTAAAATTCAAAAGTTCCTTTATGTGAGGAGGGAGGAGCTAATCTAAGAACTTGAAATATATAAATCACAGTTGATTTGGTTGGAAGTTTGGGGCAGAAACCTTTAGAGACCAAAAAGTTAAAGTATATATTTCTAAATAAGTAAGTATTTCTAGCCATTTCTATTAGAGATCCTCCCTCCAAACGCTTGCCATTTCGAGCCCATATCATCTATCATATTCTGGAAAATAAGAAATGTTAAATTTTCTGTTAGCCTGTTTCATAAAATCCGTCTGTTGGCTGACTAGCCGGCTGCGACGTTGTTTGGTTTGGCATTCATCGTCGTTGATATATCCGTCATAGTCCAAGTGTTGTTTGGTGTTCATGGCAGTCATAGTCATAGCCACAACAACATAAATTCGCTAAGCAAGACAACTGGTTGGTTGGAACCAATTGTAGCCGCCATCGCCATGTCGTCCACCGTCAGCCAGCCAGCCAGCCACTCAAGTTGAATTACCTTTTTCTCTGCCAAAAGTGCAATGAAATTTATTTAGTTCTTGCAACGCAATTTTTTCCTTCTATTTTTTAGATTTTATTTGTTTTTTTGTTATTCTCGTCAAATAGTTGATAGCTAACGCAGTGGTGGGTACATAAATAGTTTGCATTTTGTTTTTAATTACGCTTTGTTTACTCTTTTTCGTACATATCGTCGGTGATATTTATAGAAATGCCAAAATTTTTTTTATGTGCAACGAATTGAAATAAATATTTTGAAAAACAATAAAAACAAAAAAATCACAATTGTGGTACATAAAATAAAAATTATTTTGTAATTCCTCTAGCCGGATTCGTACTACATAGAATGGTTCGAAAAAGCTGTTTGCAAAAAAAAAAAAAACATTAAGTTCGGCCGGGCCAAACTTTTAATACCCTCCACCTTAGGGTAAAGGAAACATTAGACATATACATGGGAAATTGTGCCAAAAATCATCAAAATACCGAATATCGGGAAATACGGCTATATGAGGCTATACAAAAACGTGGACCTATACATACAGTGTTTCGCCAAAAGAGCTAGAACCCATTATGACCTACAACTACCAATTTTCAGAGAAATTCGCGAAAAAAAAGTGTCAAAAATCTTCAAAATACCGAATATCGGGAGGCACCGTTATATGGGGGCTATACCAAATCATGGACCTATACATGCAATGTCTCGCGAAAGGAGCTAGAACCCATTATGACCTATAACTACCAATTTTCAGAGA